GAGGGGCGGGAAGCCCTGGGGCGCCTCTCTGGTAGCAGAGCTTCGGCTCCGGGTATTTCGCGTCAGCTCGCCGTCCACCCTCGGTAAAAGGAGAAGGAGGCCCCACGGAGGGGTTCTACCCACTTAATAAATTGTGGGGGAACGGCTATTTCACATAATTTTAAGAAGAAGAGATATTAAAGCTCCTCATGCAGCCAAGAAAGCTCCCCCCGGCCCCAACCCAACGAACAGTAATGCAGCCCACAGGTACGGGGTTTTGTGTTTTTATTTAAATCCAGTTACAGCAAAATACAGGCTGGCAGTACAGAGAGCAGCATGCCAGAGAGGTAATGCACGCTCTGTGCGTCAGGCAGCGTTCGTCTGGCTCCGAGGCCGGCGCGACACCCAGCGCGGAGGGCTGGCGCTGCTGGCGGCCGAGGGGAGGCCACCGGGTGAAGAAGCTGCCCCAAACCTAAAAAGGTCACCACGTGCTCTACATTTACAAACAGTTACCCGAAATGAAGCTACTGCCCCCTCCCCTTAGGTAGGGACTGAAAAAGAAGGGAAATATTGCATTTGTCTCCCTTTAAAGGGTGACTTCGTTGTTTTCGATGCTGTGGTGATCTCGAGCATCCTCAGCACTCTCCACCGTTTGATTGCTGTTATCGTCGGGGAACTCAGCTGAAATGTGGACCTGACTTTCCCTGCTTTCAATGCTCTGGTGACTATCCCCTCTGACACCAGCCTTGCTATCATCTCCCGCCTCATGGCTATCGAATTTTTGTCGGCTGTCATTTTCCAAGCTCTGGTCACGCTGCTTGCTGTCCAGCTCACTGCTGTCCTGCCTGTGACTCTTGTCAGCCCATTCCCTGCTGATGGCATGCTTCCCCAGGGAGCGGGGGGCAGCAAGATCCTCCTGGGCCAGCCCCACTTGCTGGCTGTCTGCATCCAGGGCGCCCTCATCCTCCTCGGTGGCATCATGCGCAATGAGCTGTGTTAGAGAGCAAAACAAGAACGAGCCATTGTCACTCCTGAGGAACTGATCTGTCATCAGGTGCTGCCGTACTGCATCAAAGCAAGCTGAATAGGCTGCAGGTACACTCAAAGCCTGCATGATACATGTCTGCCTGGAGACACTGGGGCCATTTATGGAGTTACATGAACACTTCACATTATGAGAAACTCAAGTTTGATCCTGGCCTCAGATTTCATATGCGCAAGTACATCATGATAGTGCAAACTGCAGCACTGCATAGCTTGCAGCAGCAGGCCACTCCTGCCTTGGCACATCGACAGCCATCAATACCCCCTGACTTGAGGTATCCAGAGGAAGAAAATATGTCCCTTCACTGATGCCTATTTTCCCCTCACCAATCCTTTTCAAAACTGACTCCTATAAAATAATATGTCTGTTTTCAAGTTCACTACACTTTTCCAAAAACCTGGGTACCACTGCTCGGGGCTATTTACCTTTTTTGCAGCTTTGCGGAGTTTGCTAGACACCATTGTCGCTTTCGCCCTCACCCTGTAGGCCACGCTGTCGCCTCTGCCGATGTTGTCTCCCCGGGTGAAGGGAGGGAATGGTACAGTTACTGGAATGTCTGTGGGAAAACTCGTGACAACCTCTTCGGATTCATCTGTGTCATTAGAATCATTGTCATCATCGTCATCATCCACATCTTCATGGCTCTTGCTTGACACATCAGCAAAGTGCTGGAAAACATTATTATGCATCAGGCAAATGAACATATATGTGAGATGTGCAGACTGGTACCTGTCCTGTTCACAGGACTTATGCTAACTGTTGAGGAGCTATGTGCATGAATTGCTCTGAACTTGCCTCACCCTGCCTGAAGCTTTGTTTTGTTTAGGGAGAGATGTTACCGCAAGAACTGCATTTGATTGAGGAAAATGAGTGCTGCTACACACTGGCTGCCCTGCAGCGCTTAACTGACATTTTGCTGTTCAAAACACTTACCAGTTTTGCTGGGACATCCACGCTCTCTTCAGAAGAGTAAAGAGTCTGCAAACAACATGAAACTCTCTGTTAGCACACAAAGGCATATACAGTAGAGCTGATCAGCTAGTTGACTATTCTTTAAGCACTTAATCCTAATTTGCGAATCTTGGCATTGAAAGATGCTCTGCTTTCTTTTCCACTTAGTCGCCCGTACCTGCTGAGGTGATGCCAGGTCATTCTCTGTGTGCTGCAGACTCTCCCAAGACTGAGAATTCACATGCTGGTGGTGATATCTGTGTGAGTGATGGCCCCTGGCATCCTTCAAAAGATAAAAACCCAGGTTGTTTAATCCACAAAGGAACATAGAGGACAGGCAAAGCTGCCTGCATCACAACCTCTGTTTTCAGGCAGTTGTGGCATCTGCAATACATACTCCTTTTGTACAGGATGTGTCCTCAGCAATTCATTGCAGTAGAGAGAGGACCCAGAACAAGCTGTGATCCCAGATGAACATTATACTCAAATGCTATAATACAGAAGATGTGCCTCTCCCACTAGCAGGACCTGGGGAATTTTGGACAGTTTCTCCAGCTCGTTTGTATCGAGTAAAATCTGGATTTATATCTAACAACCATTGTTTCTGCTAATTCTGAGGTCCTTTTCCCAAAAGTGATTTATCTGCCCCATCATGAAGACACTAAACTAAATGCAGTAGCTGATTCTCAGAGCAAAGAATTGATTTTACATGGGTAGTGGCTGGCAATGATAAATCAAATAGCTATATATAAGACTAATACAGTTCACTCATAGCACTCAAAAAATCATGGGAATTGGATTAAAGCGCTCTTCCAACACCAAATACTGTCCTCTGATCCACAGTAATGAATGTGGGTTACAGTAGTTGTGCCGTGCTACAGTCCTTTTCTCTTTTAACTGACACCTTACACATTTTTCATTAAGAAAAAGGGGTTTGTTCTGGTCCATAGATACAACTAAGAAGTCCGCAACCAGGATGCCTAACATGGCAAAAGTCTACTGACATCTTTGGCTACTTTGGCTACCTGAGAAGCTGGCTCATAACAGCCAGATGAGGACATGTTCTGCAAGCAGCTACAGTCATAAAACAAGTATCAGACAATGTGTATTAGAGAAAAAAAAAACCAAAAAGGATTTATTAAAGAAAATGAATAGAAAGACAAAAGGATCTTACATGTTTTTCTTCGGAGCTGGCAGAAATGGCGTGCTGCTTGGATTTACTCACCTTGAAGGGAGAAAAGAGAAAAAGCATTTGTTCAGTATTAATTTCTTTCTAATATGCAGAGAAAATATGCAAGTGATTGCTGATACCCATTTGTGATTTACTCACTGGCCACGCAGTGGTGATGCTGATAAAGCATAAACACAGAACTGCCACCTTCATTGTGATGTTTTACCTAGAAAATATTTTGGAACAGAGAGTCAACAAGGTAAAATATCACAAAAATGCCATAGGCTTTTTCTTCCTTCTGCTGTACTTCACTGTGCTGAGACCGGCTCTCTGCTAAGGATTCAGCCTGCCCACGCGCATCTTTTTCCTCTGCCCTCCATCACCACCCTGCACCCAGCTGGTTTTGTAATGACATAGCAACAGAAAAGCTACAAGAATCTTAAAACCAGATACTGAGAAATGCTGAGCGGTGGTGAGAGTAGCCACACTGAGAAGGCAAGCAGGCTCATTCTGTCTTCTACTGACTTGCACTGGAAAAGGAAAAGCTTTGTGAAAAACAAAGTGCTATAAAGATCAGCTTTGGTTTAATCTCCATTCATTTAACATTAGTTTGTCAGAAGAGACAGGACAAGACAAACTCAGCTTGGATTCTCTTTTCAGTCATTATAGTTAACTGGAGTCACTGTGAGTAAACTCAGTTTGTATGAACATAATCTGCTTTTATTGATAGACCTTTATTTCCCGCTCCAGAAGTTTGAACAGAATAACCTGTGTTTCCAAGCAAGAGATGAAGTAAAGTATCTGCTTACATTGCAGTTTTAACAATTTAATAAATGAGTGATTCCCGCTGAATTTAGGAGAGTGCTGAGAGACCAATTCCCAGGATCAGCAACATCCCTGAGAAATTAAACTGATTTACTGACGAACAAGAGGCATTTAAAACTTTAGTAAATCATAGCAGGAAAGGAAAGCCTACTAAGGGCACATTTAAAGTACATTAGTAAGGCTGGCCTTGAGACAGGACACTCTATTTAGTGGTGTTGCAATTTCAAGAGTTACATAGAGAAGGGTGATTGTCCGTCCATTCAGTAGCATGCAGCACAAACTGCAAGCCTGCCAGGAGAAACGGAGGCACTGCCAGGCGGTGGTTACATGAGGGAGGAAGCTTTCTGTTTTCAAGTACCATCTTTGAGTTTCCAGCACTTTATACAGTGGCAGGGTTTTCAGTAACCTCCTCCCAACACCTATCAGAACACAGGTTTAAAATGGTGATTACGTATAGTACCTTGCATCGCTAAAGCAACCTTGCTCCTGTAAAAGCACACCTTTTTCCATAGAGAAACATCAAACATCCCTGTGCAGTGAAGCAGTTTTCAAAGATCTCCTGCCCAACTCTTCCTTACTAAAGCTGCAGACAGAATAGCACATGTCAGGTTAAAAAGTGAAAAATTACCTTTTCTGGTGCTGGAGGAGTCAGCTGTGACAAGAGCACTCTTAGTGATCCCAGCAGCAGCTCCAGCCAGTTGGCTCCCAGCAGCTCTGGCTTTCTCCCCTTGTCCCCTGACTGTCTGACATCTCCAACCCCAGGGAATTTAAACCCTGTCCTAGGCATAGCTGCCAATCCCCATGTGGCGGAAAAAGATGAGGTCATAAGGCTCCTGGCCACCATCCTGCCCACGTTCTCCTACACTTCCTCTTTGGCTTTGTGGCTTTTGAAGCAAACAAAAGCTACTCTATGGTTAAAACATTACTTATGGGCAAGATCATTAACCAGCAGGTCTGTTGAATGCACAGCATTTGGTATAGTGTAGGAGGACTTCAGGGCACGTCTGTCCTCCTTTTGTGAAACGGCAGAGCCCAGTTTCCAAGAAACCTTTCGTGCCCTGTTTTGTAGGGGGTAAGAACATGTAACGTGTGCAGGAAGAGAGAGATCTGAACATAAGGCTCACCACAAAGGTGTTAATGTTTCCACAAAGTTGTAGATTTGCTCTCCAGGGTATTCACGTTGCAGTGGAAATCAGTAAGACAGCGTGTATAATATGGCCTTTTGCCTTTTCGGTCAGACCTGGGTCAAAACCCCCCATAATACTACTATGTCTTAATAGACATTCTGCATCCAGAAACTTCTTTGTAAAAGTATACAAGAGCTACTGCTAGTCTAATTAAAGAGGGTTTGTGCAGCATTATCATAAATTCTCACTCCTTTTAATTTGTATCCCTTCTGGGTCTAGAAAGAGTTTCATTCACTCTCTCGGGTGGTTTGGTTGAGTCACCTGCTACAGCTGCCTGCTGCACCAAACCTGCTCCAGAACCCTTTTCAGGGACCAGATGTGAGATATTTTTCAAGCTAAAAAAAGAAAAAGTGGGAGAAAAAAACAGTTTTAGCTCCAGTATGAGTACCCAATGCACTGGGAAGCAAGGGACATCATGGGATGAAATCCATGTCTGTTACGGAGCAGTGCATCATCCCTGCTGATGGGCAACAGATCTATCCTGACAGCTTGGATAGCCATAGTTTTGGGTAGATTCTGCCTCATCTGCGATGTGCTGTGAGACTCTCAGACCCTCTTCCATTTGTCATTTCTTTAAAATCGCAGTGAGGTGTCATTCAAACACAGGAAAACATTCCAAACATCCCTTTCAGAAGGCAGAATATAGCTGTTTCAAAGCTGTTATCTTTCTCCTCATTTCTGATACCCAGCTAATGTTCGTCATGTCCTTAGTCAAGCAGCAAGGAAATAGACACACTGTTGTCTCAGCTCATGTTAGCAGTTATCCTGTGCTTACTAACACTTCTGTGGCATGTATAGAACCACTATGAGAAACTTAACCAAGTTAGCTCAGCAACTGCCTATCACATCATCACAGACCTATCTAACTGTATTTTTGAGCTGAGATCAGCAACAGCTAGAAGTTAAACTTAATCTGCTTAATAGAGTATTCTAATATCCTAAGAGGAGAATTGAATAAAAAGATAGTGTATCATTAATAGTTCTGCATGTTCGTAAACCCGTGTATGCATCCACCTGAATGAGGACTATCCTAGCTTTTATTTTTGGTGCTATGTGACCATTATTATTTACTAATTCAGGAAAGACTTTTCAAGGAAAAAGCCTTCAGTAACTAGGATTTTAGCAACGTGGTGTTCTGCAGATTTAGATAACTTATATCATCTCCCATCACATCGGCAGCTCGGTGCTTCTGGAAACCAGACAGTTTACTGAAGCCCTTGAATGCAGGCACAGGACTCAAGCTGTGGGTGCTATTTGTAAGTTTCAGCTTGAGCGTTGTGTAGTAGCTGATACACCCAGATTATAATATATCACTATTACTTAGTAACTAGGACAAAAGGCCACTGCTGTTGACTCCAGGGAACCCCAAACTAAGCCCTTAGGTAGCTGAGTACCTTTGATCCCAAACACCAGGACAAACGAACAGTGCAGCTTGCAGCTCCTCTGACCGGTAAGAAAAGACTATTTCCATCTGACAGAGTGAGAAACTGAGACAAAGACAAGCTGAGTGGCTCACACCACTGAATATGGGACTGGGTATGCTGGGTCCTGCTCTCCTGTCCACACCCTGGATCAAATTTTAAGCCTGCAAAAACCTGCTTTCTCTACCAACCATTCATCAACCATGAACAATGGAAGGTTTTGTTTTGGCCAGACAACAGCTCTAGAGAATATTTCAGTGTAACGTTTTTCAGTTCCGTGTCAACAAAATGGAGAAGGGCAGAGCCATTAGGAACACAGTCTTCATGCAGTTTTGTTAAAGACCTTCTTGTACAGGTCAGGTATCGCTGCGGCTTTTCAAGGCAAATGTTTGTCAAGTACCTGGAGCACTCTGTTTCCCAGCAGAGACACTACATGACCCCCAGGGAGTTGTTTCTGGTGAAAAACTTTCATTGTACTGGGACATGGCAGCATTTCTGAGTGCCGTTGTCAAAGCTATATGGTTGATTTTGTAAGAACTAAGGAACAGTAGTGATGTTTTGCAATAATCCAGAAGCAGGACGTGAAGCGACAGTTATTACTAAATGGCTTCATTTTATGCAAGGTCAGACAGTACAAAGCTGTAGTAAATATAGCACTTGTCTCATGCCCATCATTATGTGGTTATTCATTCTGTAAATCATTTTGTCTAGCTGAGAAATCCTTTGCCTTGGTAGGAGGTAGTGCTTCTCATCCTCTCAGAGGTAAGGAACAAGCAGGGCAGAAAGGGGGGAACTTTCACCGTTTTCACTTCCCACATTAAAATGCCTAATTGTGGAGAGAGCACTTGGCTGGCAGTGGCACAGCAGAAGAAACTTGTTTGAATTTGTACGAGTGGGAGGGTACATGATTTCAGCTTTCAAGAGCTGTCAGGGTCTGTGTGGAGCACAACTGTGGTACGCTGTGATTTACTGCATGTAGGTGACGTTTTCCGCTTGCCTATCCTGTCAAACAAAGATTTTGACCACAATTTCTTCCATCTTGGGCTGTGTTTGAAACATGTGGTTAGGCTGCTATTTCATGTCATCAAGAAGCACTATCAATGCCTCCCGTGCAACCTCCAGCATGTACCTAGGATCCTGAGCTGAGACATCAGCGCAATGCCTAGCAATATCTCTGGCCAGTATGGGAAATCCCAGGCTGTCTGCAGCGACTTGTAATGCCCAATCTTTCAGGTGACCTGGCTTTTGTTTAGATTTGTTCACCAAAAAACAGGTTCAGGGGAGACCAGAGCAGCATCTTCTAGGCGGCAAAGACGAAGACTGGGAGAGATAGCCTATGCTCTTCAGCATGCTATCAAGTAAAAGCCCCAAGAAATGCCAGCATGGCAGTGTTCTTAGAAAGGGCTGTTTTGCAACTAGAATGTCCCAAAGAAAAGCAGACTTAGTAAACAGTGGTTTCTGTAAAAAACAGATGAAAACCAAAACTTTCTTGTATTGCTGCCATAAAACACTCATGAAAAGTACCTTGGAAACTCAACATGTCAGCCAATATAATATATCCCAGTAGCCCTTAAATTCTCTCAGTTAAAGCTTCAAAAGTGGGGAAAAGTTTACGTTCAGCAGTTGGTAGGCTTCAAAAATCCTTCTGACTATTAAATAGACTACACAGACCACCAAGGTATCTGTGACCAGGCCTAGGAGAGTACTTCGTAGGCAGCAGGGATACGAGTGTCAGATCTGTTCGAAAAAGAAGTTACCACAGAAATTTGCTCCTTACATG